ATCTTGCTGCTTCTTGCGTTTATTACGCCTTTTGCTAGGATCTGCCAGCTCTTCGATGTGTGACAGAATGCCAGAGAAACTAACGTCCATTCCCTTTACCACATATGGCAATTTGATATACTGTTTGCCCTGCTTCGCCAGTTGCTCGATGTTATAGCCAGGACTTGGGTCGTTCGAAAGTTTAATAATGCGCGCGAACCGATCCAAGCAGTTGCCCACGGCTATATCTATGGTCTCGCCAAAGATGCGATATCTTTTATTGGAGTAGGCAATCACTTGGGTATTGCCACCACTCACATACAGCACTATTGGATTCTGGGCACCAGTTATCAGGCGACCCATTTCGATGTGGCCAATGCAATGATTAACGCCCAGTAAAGGCTTCTGCCAAAGCAGCGACAAAGTGCGTGCCACAATGGCACCTACTAACAGCGGAGGAGCCATGCCGGGACCCTTTGTATAGCAGATGACATCCAAGTCAGCAGGTTTTAATTGTGCCTCCTTCAAACTGGCTTGCACAAGGCCCAAAATCGCCTCGCGGTGATGTTTGGCCGTTTCCTTAGGCAGAAAACCTGTTGCATATAAGGGAAGATAAAGTAATTGAAGTTAACCCGATATATTATACATACCTTCGCCGGGCGGTGTAATGTATGTGCGTCGCACATTTGCCAATACTTTGCCATTGTTTATAATTCCAACGCCAATTTTATTGGCGCTGCCCTCGATGCCCAGCGCGCAAACCATCGTTGTTTACTTCTGCATTAGAGATGAGTAAAGGCGAATTACTCGACATGCAATCGCTAAGGCTGCCTTTGAGCGGCACATACTGCTCATCTCTATTAAAATTCAGAAGTCCGATAACAAATTATATATCGATAATAATAATATTGTTTGGCTGTGTGAATGGTCTTTTCAGTGGGAGAGAAAATGTAAAAACAAATCAGTTTGTTTTTTATTTTCGTATTTAGCATTTGTTTATTGAGTACTTAAAAATGGAGACGGCTATAGAGCCAACAAACGAGTGTACTAATTTAAATGATGAAAATAACAGTGAGTCAACAAACCAGGAGCCAGTAACACAATTAGCAAATGACGCCGACGTGGATGCGAAAATTGCTCTGGAAGATAAACAGCAGCTGGAATGCGAAAACAAAGTACAAAGCCAAGAAAGCCCTATAAAAGAAGAAGCTGCAGATAAAAGTACACACGATAAGAGAGAATTGGAATTAGTTAACGAAATTCACGCAGCAGTTGTGGAGCAACCGGTTAAAGAGAAGGAGAAGGTGGAACATGAGCCAGCAACAGGAATCAGTTATGCAGACCTGAAGGCGCAGGATGAACAGGAAAGCAAGGAACACAAGGACAGCCGGGACATCCTCTCACATGTACATTGCCTTGCACAGCTGGAGGAACAACGTCGTAACTATGAACGCCAACTGGAACAACTGCGTACCTCCAATACGCAAAAGGATAATATGATGACACTTCTGCAGAGGGAAAATGCGATATTGGAGAAGGAGAAGCAGGCATTTCGCAATGAGATGGATCTGGCCAACAAGGAGAAGGAGAGCACAGTGATTAAATTTGCTATGAAAGAGAAGTTGCTCATCGATGCCAAAAAAGAAAAAGAGACCGTGGAGAAACAATTGGCGGATGCCAAAAAGGAAGTGAAAAATGTCTCCATACGCTTCCAGGCGGTGCACGAGGAAAAGTCACGAATGACCTATATCATAGATGAAAAGGTAAGTGTAAGAAGACTTAAAAAGAATTATACATAACTCCCCTAACTATTTTTTGCAGTGCAACGAAGTGCGCAAGTATCAAAGGGAATGTGAGAAGCTTAAAACGGAAATGGGACACTTGGAATCCAAGCTCAAATATCATGCCAACAAGCTAAACATTGAAGTAGAAGCTAAGGCAGTGAGTTCTTCTTCATCTTTATATATGCATAAATTGTGTAAATATTGACTCTTTACTCATATTTTATAGAACCTGGAGCGCAAGCTGGAAGAGGAACGGAATGCACCCAATAAGCTAGAAGAAAAGGCCAATGGTTGGGTCTAGTGCATAGTTTTCTTTAAAATATATCTATAATGTATATTCTCTTACAGAGAAGCTTAAGATGGAATTTGAAGCTAACACAATACTGCTTAAACATGAAATCAAAAGCAAGACTGATTCACTGGACAAGCTGAATAAAGAGCACCAAAAGCAATGCGAAGCTAATAAAGAATTGCAACAGCAGCTGCAGCAGTTAAAAGAAGCGGTAAAAAGAAATATGAGGATAGTTTGAAAAATTGTCGGGCCTGTTGTTGCAAAATTAATTTATTTAACCTTTTTGTTAGCTCAGCAATTTCTCAGACTATTCTCATATTCAATATATATTTATGATAAGAAGTAATCAGTTCCCTTTGCTCTGCAGCATGAACAGCTTTCGGGGGAGTTCAAGGAGTTACAGGCGCAGCATAGCCAAATAGATGCCGCCTACAGCGACGAGCTCTTAAATGCAGCGAAATTGCATAGCCAGTTGGCTGAGCTGCAGCTGCTGCGCACACAGAATACAATGTATGCAGCCTTAGCTAATAAAATTGCAATCGTAAATTAAGTAATTAACATCTATTATTCACTATTTAAATAGCAACGAGCAGAAGTTAGTTGAGGCGCAGACGAGGATAGAAGAGCTGGAATCCCTGGTGCAGGACAATGAAGTAGATTTAAAGCAAGTGCAGGAGAAGAGACAGGAATTACTGAACATTAACAAGGAGATGACCGAGCTAATAGTCAAGCTGCAAAATGATATTTACCTGGCAGAAGTCAAAGTAAGTTCCTGATAAGATAATTCACCTAATAGACAAAAAATTTACCTGCCCCGGGTGAGGCTCGAACTCACGACCTTAAGATTATGAGACTTACGCGCTGCCTACTGCGCCACCGAGGCCATGTGAAGAAGTCGCCACTAACATGAAAATTCTTGTTTCTATTTATAACCAGTCGCTAGGCTTCGAGTCAGAGAATAAACTGCTGAAGCAGGAGCTGCTTGCATTCGATGCCAAATACTTGGAGCTAGAGGAGCAAATGCATGCGGAGGGAATGGAGAAGATTGAGGAACGTCTGCTGCTGGCCAAACATCTGTCCGAGAAGACAAAGATGTACGAAGTGGTCAATGCTAAGCTGGAAGAGCTGCAGAACCACTTTGAGGCAACGAAGCACAAGCATGCGACCCAGGTGAAAGAGCTCCAACGAGAGCTGCAAAAGTACAAAAGAGGCATTGTGGATGCCAAGCCAGCGGGCTACTGTCGCAACTGTCAGCAGGCAATGAATGACTTGAGCCAGGAACAACTGCAACAGCCGCCGCAGCAGCAGCAGCCCCAACAGCAGCAGTTGATCACTCATAGTCGCAGCAGCAGCCAGTGCAGCCGTGCCAGCGAGTCATCCGAGTCTGAGACGGTGGTCAACAGTGCGTCACAAGCGCAACCGGCAGCCGCACCAGTAACCGATCTACAAGCAGTACCTTCAAAGAAAGTCTTAGTTGAGCGCATTTTGCGCCTGCAACAGGCCTCAGCACGACAAACAGAGCGCATTGAATTCCTGGAGAATCATACGCAAATGCTGGTCTCCGAGGTCCAAAAGAAATCCAAGGTTGTGCAGCATTATATGTTGCGAGATCAGACAGCCGGTGCGCTCACCTCCAGCAAAAGTGATCAGAGCAAAAGCGAGCTGGTCAAATATGGCAATGGCGTCATGGCTGCCATCTATGGAGGAGTCAAGGGAGCTGAGAGCAAGGGTATGTCCTTGGAGCTCTCACTAGAGATTAATAAGAAGTTGCAGGCTGTCCTAGAGGACACGCTGCTAAAGAATATAACGCTCAAAGAGAATCTCGATGTGCTGGGCCTCGAGGTGGATAACCTGACGCGCAAATTGCGCTCGCAAGAGCTAAGCAACAGTTAGGCAGAGTGCCTGACCACTAATCCATTCCGTAGATATAACAATTCCATTGTGATTAAGTTAAAATTAAAGATTTAATAATGCAACAAGTGTCGAGGTGTCCAAAGTTAAGGCAGCGCATCCGTTATAGCAGGCCATCATAGAGCTTGGCGCCAACTGTTGATGGCTTGCCCATATCCATGGAAAGCTGCAGCGTCGGCTGCTCGCCGTCCTTGGCCAGACGTGCCTGCTTATTGTGCGTCTTCTTGAAATGCACATTAATCATCGGATTTGGGTCGCCAGTTTCATCCTTAATGTATTCCCGCAGCAGTGGTGGCAGTTCAATCTTTGTGGGCAACACTACGGAATCCACCTTTTTCTTATTTTCTAGATATTTGTGCTCCTGGTCAACGGGCACCAGCTCGTAATCGGCCTTATAGCTGGTGCTGTAGATCTCCACGGGTTTGGGTTGGGTGACGCCACGCCATGTCTTCTGCACAGTGACTCGCACCTTGCGTTCACTGTCGGCCTACAAAGAGGAGAAAAATATGAGAAATAATACTATTTTGTCTCTTTCCCACTCTTACCTGCTCGTCCACTGCTTGCACCTTTAGTATGCGCATGTAGCAGGGCTCCGGGTACCGTTGAAACATGTTACGTATGACCATGCGACCGATGCCCCAGTCGGGCAGATTGCCGACGATTTCCCACAGAGTGTTGCCGCGAAAGTCTGTGGTGCGCCCAATGTATTGAATTACTTTTTGACTCATGCTGCACGCTCTTTAATTAATCAAAACTGAGCAATGTTAAATTTATTTTATTATTATTCCGGTGTGCGCTGCTTCTTCGCGACAAGTGCCATTCACTCGTTACGCAAACAGCTGTGCATCTGGCAGCGTTGCCACTTATTGCTAAGACGTTGTGCTTGAGGTAGTTGGCAACGCGGCGTGTGTTCAAATTGTGTGATCCTATAATCTATTTTTATTAAAGACTAGTTTAGTTAAATAATTGAAATTTATTATATCAAGTGTTTTTGGGTCTGTTTGCTGACTTGCTTTTTGGCTTGATTCGCTTATAAATCGCATAAATATTTAAACTAGAATTGTAATACTCTGAAGTGGATTAGCCGGAGTGTGATCGCTCTTCAGCCCCGTCGCTGGCTGTGTGACCCACTCCGCTGGTGTCAAGCTGTTCGTCATACGACTCCAGCTCCTCGTCACGGTGCTGCTCCTGCTGATTGATGCTCTCATGGAGTCCAACTGTAGCATGTGCTGCCGCCTTAGAGGCATTCACCTGTGCAGCCGCTGCAGATGAAGCAGCCTTCAGAGCCGACTCCTTGGTGGCAGCATAGTCCACGCGCGCCTGCTGCAGCTGCTCCTCCACCTGTTCCATTCGATTCTTCGCCTGGCCCACCATGGTGGCCTGTGAGGCCTGCTGATTGGACACCTCGGTAGCCGTTTGCTCTGCTTGCTCGGCCACCGACTTGGCATTGTTGAGGGCTGCCGTCAGCACCGAGATGTGATGGTGCGCAGCCTGCGCCGTTTGTTGTGCCAGCTTCGCGGACACCTTGGCCGCCTTCAGCTGCTCCAGCTCGCGCGAGAGCGCACGCTGTGCCTCGGCTGCCTGCTGCTCCAGCTCCTGTAGTATCACCTGCTTGCCCGCGAGCGCGGCTTGCGCGGTGGCAGCTGCCTGTGATGCTGCTTGCGCCAAGGTGTTTTTGGCTATAAAAGCAGCCTGCTTGGCGGCAGCATGTTGATTTGCGACGGCGCTGTAAGCCTGATCTGCCGATCCTTGGGCAATGGAGCGCAGGCCGCTGCCTATGCTGTAACCTGCCTTGCTGCTGTCACTGGAATGGCTTTTGGAGCTGCTGCCGTGGTGTGGCGACTGATGCTGCTGGTGCTGTTGCTGCTGTGGATGATGATGCAGCTCCACTACTTCCTCGTGCCCTGGCAACGAGGGCTCAAAGTAGCTGCCGCCGCTGCCAAACTGATGCTGTGCCGGCGGCTGCTGTCTGTAGAAGTATCCATTGCGCTTGTGCAGCCTGCCCAACACCTGAGCGCAAAGCAGCGCTGCGATTGATTGATTGATGAATATTGTGATTAATCCCTGAGAGCAGTCTGCGGTAATCCTTGAACTCACCTAGTATCAGGTATTTCAAGCACTTGTTGTACATCTCGTTGCAAAAATTGTATTAAGCTTCGGCTCCAGCTGCTCCAATGGGTTTTATACACCTGCGATTCAGGCAGCGGTGCAGAAATTTTATAAATTTACTTTTTTTTTAGTAGTGCGGAAAGTCTTGTTGCGGCTCTTGAGTTTAACGGGCACTCAACATGTGAGACTTTATGATATATTTGAATATCACAAGCACACACATACACACTCTTACACACACACCCGCTCGAGGAAGTTCATAGTTGTGCGCGCTTTGATGGCGTCTCTCTTAATGTTTTGTTAGCACGGTGGCTCGCTTTATGCTGCTTGCGATTATGGGTGGTGCAAAGCTGACGAAAAAAATTATAATTCGCATTTTAATGGGTTGCACCCAATTGTAATTGATCTTAAGCTGGTTATAATAGTATTTCGGTTGCAGCACAACTTTTTTACTTTTTTGTTAATTGTTAACTCTTCTCTTTCTTTTAAATATTAATTTAAAAAAAATATATATATATTTTTAAATTTTAAATATGAGAAAAGTGTGGAAAATGTGTGTTATGTAAAATCATTGTGTAAATGAAAGTATATAAAATATAGTTGATATGTGTTTATGATATATAATTAAATAAGAGTAAATATTTTGCAATATTTAAAGTGTGTGCCTAAATGGTAGAGATAGTCTAGAAAGCCATTGCTATTTCTTTCATTCACTCTCACTTTCTCTCCCTCTCTCTCTCTCTCTTTCTCTCTCACGCTCCCTCTTACTTCGTCGGAATTGATCGCTCACTGATCTGAGTGCAGCTTAGATCGTTGTTCGTATTTGTTCGAAGAGCCATCGTATTCCTACAGTCGGTCCAGCAGTATTTACTATCACTCTACTCATAGAGCCTGTTGCTATCTCTGTTTTTTTGTAGTGCATGTTGAAGTCTTTCTTAAAAATTAGGTCTACAAGCTGGGTCTAGCATCTCTATCTCCTTTGGTTTATATTTGATATATTTCTTTTTTAGGTAATATTTCTTGGATAATGCGGACTACCATCTTTGTATAACCCATGTTTACTCACTTTGATAAAACACAATGATTTCGCAACACTCGATCGACAACGTTTCATACTTATTTCATGTACTGCAGATATTTGTTTGATTGCGGTTAGTCCTCCTAACTAATATTTTAGTTTTTAATTGTCTTAAGAGGTATTCAAAATGGCATAGGCCCACCATTTCTTTTCACAAATCCCTTCATTTCAACAACTTGCAATATAATGTAATACACATGATTATATTATAATTGTATATATAAAATCATAGCAAGTTATATAACTGTAATGAAAAGTCGTTTCGTTTTCTTTGATAAATTAATGTATTTAAATAGTTTTTAATTTATTACAAGTATAAAAAATAAATTAATTAATATAAACACAACTATTATACACGATGCACGAATCGGAGCTTCAAAGTGGAGGAGAGCAATAGGCAACAAGCGCTTAACTCGGCCACTCGCTAACATATTTGTCCAACAATCGAATCTGAGTGCGACAAAGAGTGTTTTTTAACAACAAATAATAAAGTAGCAAAAAATCATAATAACAAGGTAATAAGGAAAAGGCCTAAACAAGACGGGGTAACGGTAACGAGCGGTAACAGTCAACACGCGTGGGCCAACAGAGAGTGCGTTGCGTAATGGAAATGGCTGCTCAAAAGTGAAATACGAATTGATCGGAGGTGTCGTCATTGGCTGTGACGGCCCCCGCTCTGGGCACTGTCTCCAATAATCATTTGTAGCTCTGCGTGATTTGCCGAATCCAGGGCAAGTAGGCAGAGACCTTCACGTAGACGCCGGGCACATTCACCTGGCCGCATCCGATGCCCCAGGACACCACGCCGACCACGTTCCAGACGCCGTTGCGCTCGCAGACCAGAGGACCGCCGCCATCACCCTTGCAGGCATCCTTACCCTCCTCGCCGCCGGCGCAGATGAAGCCCGGATTGAGTTTGTAGCTGTAGCCGAGACGCGTGTTGCGCAGCTGCGCCTCGCACTGATGGTGGGACAGAATTGGCACATCGACTTCCTTGAGGATGTTCTGGTATTTGCCGTGCTCGCCGAAGGCGTCCTTGCCCCAGCCGGTGGTCCAGCAGCGAGCGTTGGTGAAGTCGGAATACTGATCGGGCAGACAGGCGGGACTGATGTGTGGGTTCTTGGTGAAGTCGACGGGGTGATCCAGCTTCAGTATAGCCAGATCGTTGTCCAGGGTGCCAGCATAGTACTCGGGATGAATGTGCACAGAGACAACATCGCGCTCAATGTAGGGGAAGAACTCGACGTCATGATTGACATCCCATTCGCCCAGGCGCACGCGCAAATCGAATCCATTTTGACTGCAGGAGGAAATTCCAGGTTAGTCTAAATCTTCTGGAAGAGCTTAGAGTCGACTTACGATTTAATGCAATGGGCCGCCGAGATGATGTGCTGGGCATCAATGAGAGTGCCGCCGCAGGCATAGATCGATTCCTTGGGATCCTTCTTGAGGATGGCCACATGCCAGGGATACTCGCCGAACTCACTGTCACCATCGACATAGACGGGATTCTTGATGCGGCCCGTGATGCCGGCGGCATTCCTTACGCCACAACGTCCCAGCTGCTGCTGGGGAGGAGCCTGGGGGCGCAGTGGACGACGGCAGCAGACCTCGTTGATGCGACAGGTCTTCTCCACAGGACGGTTGCCATAGTAGGCGCGCTGCAAGGATGGAGAAGGAAGGATTAGCAACTGCTTAACTGCTTAGCAGAGGATTCTCATATGTCTAACAGTCCGGGATCGTTCAACTGTCCGCAACTATGGTTACCTGCTCCGCTCCCAACTCAAACTCTTCAGGCTTATCAACGCTGCGTCGCCTGCGATCACGGGGAAAGGTTACATGATCACTGCCCGCCGCAGCGCCAGGCGCTTGAGCGGGAATGCTATGCACTTGTCCCAAATTCAGCTGCTTGCCCCGACGATTGGGCGCCGACCAGTCGGGGGCAGTGGCATTGACGCTGCGCTCGTAATGCTGGGAATAGTCTCCGTAGCTGCCAAAGCCAGTGGAGCCAAAGTCTTCGGGAGATGTGTCGGGATAAATGGAATTGTAGGAGTGCTCGAATGGAGCCTCCGAGTGGTGCTCAGCGTGATGATAATGCTGCGTTGGCACATGCAATGAGGGTCCACTGTGGTACTCAAAGATGGGCGAGCTGTGCACCATCTCCACGTCAAAGTGTGGGCCTGAACTTTCGAAAACGTGATGGTGGTGTGTTGGCGGTGGTGCGCTATAGTGGTGCGGATGATGCTCATGCTCGTAGCCGCTGAAGTGATCGTGGTGATGGTAGTGCGTGCTGTGCACTTCGCTCGGCGTCTTCTTGAAGAAATCGCCCACTTTCTGAATGATATTCGCATTGGGTGTTACGTGAAGATTGACCAGTGGCTTGACCACATTCTCGCCGTAATCCGTTTTGCTCACTTGCAGCGAGACCAGTGGATTAACATTGACCAGACCCAGATTGAGGCCATTGGGGCCCAGCGAGCCAAAGTTGGGATTCTGTGCGGGGTAATAGTCGTTCAGAACATTGGCTGGATAGCCGCCTGGATAGCCAGCCGATGGGTAGGGCAGACCGAAGCTAACCCCATATGTGGGCAGAATCTTGCGCTGTATCAGCTCAATGGCTTGGAGGGCGGGCAGTGCCAGCGGGGATTGTCCCAGTGCGCCAAAACGCTGCTGGAAGAAGGACACACGGTGTTAGCCCTAGGAGCTGATGGACGTGGACGTGCGACCGGTTTTAGGACCCGTGCGTGGTTAGGTTGATTGGTTGTTGTTTTTTTTTAGTTGCAGTTGGATTAGTGACGAATCCCAGTGTCGTTGGCAGACAAACCCACGCAGGAAGACGACGACGAGCGGGGGTTATTTGGTTTACCTTTGGCGGAGTTTGAGTTGAGCGTGGAGCGTTGATCAATGCGTGCAGTTGAGTTGTATTTGAGTATGTGTGTGTGTTTACTTGTGTGTGTTTGTGTGTGTGTGTGTGTGTGGGGAACTAGATCACAATTAGTCTCAACTAGGGAGCATTATACTAAGTGTCAATTGCATTAGTCGGCCACTAACAAGAGCTAAAGGACTGAAGTCTTCGCAGACACTTACCCCTTGGGCGTCCAATGAGAGATCGCTGCTGTCGTTCTCTTTGTTGTTGTTGTCGGCGTCGGCCTGGCGACGCGTGCGTTTCTTCTCATCCTCATCCTTCTTCTCCTCTTTGGTGTCAGCCTTGGCTGTGGCATTGGCATTGGCCGCAGCATCGTCGCTCAGTGCCTCGATGTCCTTGCCCAGATTTCTGGGATCGATGGCCAGAATCAGATCCTCTTTGCGTCCAATGCGGTCAGCGGCCGGGCACTGATTGATGGGCACGCATTGGCAATCGACGATTTGTTGACGGGACGTGTCATAGCCACCGCCAGCGCCCTGGTACAAACCACCCTGGTTTTGTCCATTGTAGCCCGAGGAGATGCCGTTGTAGCCGCTAGAGGCACCACTGTGCAGCTCCTTCTTGTAGTAGTCGGGATTTTGGCTGTGATAGCTGCCGCCGGGCGAGCCACTGAAACCGTTCTGGCCAAAGCTAGAGGTGGACTGTGACAAGCCAGAGTTGCTGCCGAAGCTACCCAAGCCGGAGGTGGGCTTCTGTCCGGGATAGCCCTGGGAGAGCAGACCACCTTGGGAGGCACCATTGAAGCCAGCTGTGAACGCATTCGACTGCGTGAAGCCGGTGCTGCTTGCCTGTGCCTGGGGCGTGTACGTGGCCGAGGATTGGGCCAAGGCGCTGAAGTCGGTGTTGATGGTCTGACCACTGCCAATGGGAATGGGAACAGTTGGAATATTGGCACCTTCGCCGGCATCCACGTGATGGAAATGATGGTGGACATGTTGCTGAAGACCCGCATCGAGCGGAGCACCCACAACAACCTTGGTGCTGGAGGAGGTGGCTGCCGAAGACGACGATGACGATTGCTGGGAATAGAAGCCGTTCAGCGAGGAGCTGGCGCCCTGGATCTTCTCGGGATTCTCAAAGTTATAAGGTGGAACGCCGTTCGAGGGGCCACTGTAGATGGGTCCGGGTCCGTTGGGCGAGCCAGTGTAGAGTGGGCCAGGTGGCTTGCTGTCGTAGATGATAGAGCCGGGTGGGGGCTTGGTGTAGGTGATGCCATCGGAGCCATCAATGCCGGATGGTGGGTGTTCCAGATAGGAGCCGCCGAACTGACCGCCAGGTCTGTACAGGCTGTTCATCGGAGGCTTGTAGGAGCCCTCATAGCCCACCTTGCGCGGAGGTCCAAAGGAGTTAATCGAGTTGGACGGCGGGCCCATGGGTGGACGTCCACTGAAGTAGCTTGGTGGTGGCATGGGCTTGGCTGGTCCATAGGGGCCGCCGCCGAAGCTGGATGGTGGCGGTGGTCCTTGGGCATAGATGGTCGAGTAGAAGGGGCGCTTCTCCTCCACATCGCAGCTCATCAGACCCAGTCCGCAGAGCTTGTCCCGAATTAGGTTGCGCGCCTGCAGATCGTTGCCCTCCTGCAGGGCCTGATCGATGTTGCCATCGGCATAGACGGCGTCATATTCGCCCAGATTGCGGCCCTCACGGCGCGAGTTGATTAGCTGATCGATGACCGTGTCGATTTCCGTGGCGTTGCTCTGTGTGCTCTCGTGCACCGCATAGTTGCGTCCCTGTGCGTCCGCCGCGGGCTGTGCCTCAGCCGAGCGCCTGCTCAGCATGGAGTCCGGCGCGTCCATGGGCGCCCACTCATTGCCCCAATTGGAGTCGGCAGCGACCAGAGCGGAGCTGGCCGCTAGCACCAGTAGACAGACTAAACTGTGTCGCATTCTCATTCTCATCGTGTGTGTGTGTGCGTGTGTGCGTGTGCTGGAAAGCAATAAACAAAGTTAGCTGGGGCCATTGCATAATCTCGGTGACACCAATAACCCAGAGCATGTTCAAGCCAACTGGTCATTGTCCCAATTTACACGCAGTCGACTCTGCCCCTCTGCCCCTCTGCCCCGCCCGCTCTTTCACGGGCATTTCGCTGTGGCAATCGCACGAGAGTAGAAACCGGTCTTTCTTACTCAAATCTTCGCGCTGACTCAGCGCCGCGCGGCTTGAATTAAAAAGACTTTTACTTTCGTTCGAGGTCGCAGACCGTGCATGATGGCAGACACCGGCCGACCGCTCGCCCGCTCCCCCGTTCGCTTGCTCCAGCTCAATGAGGTAATTTTACCTGGCTCGAGATTTGGCAAGCCCCAAAAACTGATCGCTCAACTTGATCTCTGCCTTGACAGCAGCGTCCGTTCGGCGTCAGTTTTTGACTCTGCATTTTCGTAACTCCCGACTATTTACATGCCTCTGCCCGACCGCTTGCTGTGTGTTATGTCATTTACGCTTTTAATGTGTTTTTCTTTCTGGAGCGTGGGTTGCTGTAGAGTCTCTCGTTGAGATCTTTTGGCTTCGGCTTTTTTTCGGGTTATATAAAGCGCACTTTTGCTTTGCCCCCATCGAACGGAAGTCGTGTGCAACGTTGCATTGCAAATTGATCTCGACTTTATTGTTTTGTTTTATTTTTTGCCTGAGCAATAAAGTTAATTTATGTGTGTGTGTGTGTGTGTGTGTGCAACTGGGAGCTTGTCTTCAGATTTGCAGTGAAAGTTTTTTGATATATAGGGTTTAGGTCGTTGACTTCAATATATACTATATCAATCGGATATTGACTGCTCATTGATGGGTATAGTGTGGGCGTGGCAGTGGACGAACTTACTATTATGGTAATGGGAATGCAATTGAAGCTTGTTAAACTAATGAGCTAGCAAAAGACTAGCTGAAGAAAGGAGCTAAATTAGCGGATAGTAGATGTTATATGGAAGATCATATGTGTAGCTTATAGTTTGCATGGCAGAGGCAATTACGGTGTGGTAGATTGCCATATCTATATGAATGCAGACTTGATTTTATTGGAATTAATATTGTATAACATTGTATATAGTAACTGTTATAAAACTCTCATAGTTTGTTCACTTTATAAAGATCTAGTTTTGGCTAGACTTGCAATTTCTATTGTAGCTTAAATATTTGTTACGTATGCACATAGGTATATATATATATATATGTTGAATTTGGTAAGACTCGACATTTGTGTCATTCATATGGTAGTTCATTTATTCACACGTCTTTCAGATCTGTTTCTACATCCTCTTATATTTCACTGTTTGCGACACTTTTCACTCCGTCTCTTTCTTGTTCACTCTTACCTTTCGCTTTTTTATATAAATATTCCAATATGTCGCTTGTAATCCTTATGTAAGTGGTCTTTGTGCCTTTTATTTTTGTTATCCTATCACTGCACCACTGCACCACACTGTGTCTGCCTCGTTTGTTAACGTTTTCTTCACTGATTTCGCTTTCGACTGCGCCTTGGATTTTATACAAAAGTTGCGCATGCGCAGAGTCGGCGTCGCAGTCGCTGGCTCTGCCGCTGCGGCTGGCTCTGCCTCGGCTGCTGTTGCTTGTTTGCGAATTGTTGGCTCAAAACAAAACGGAGAGCTCACAATTCGTGGCTATGACGTCAAAGGCTTTACTTTTGGGTTTTTTCTTTTGGCTTAACTGCATTCTGCGTATCAGCGAAGGTTAAGATGAGCTCTAAGCGGAAACCTTAGCTACAAATTAAGCTTGTTGCAATCGTGTTAATCGTGTAAGCTAAAAGGGGCACATTAACAAAGTTAAGGAGATGGAGAAGAGACCCAAATTAAAAATTAAAAAAAAAAAAGAAATATGTTGAAAACTCTTACGTCCGAAATTAGCGCTTTATGTTTTCATTTTTGTATTGTTATTGTTTTTTTTTTTCTTTTTTTTTATGTGGGCTGCAGCTTGATGTCGCGAGATGTTTATGTACAAATTTTCACCACAGTTTCCGCATAAGGCGGTCGCTTATGAAATTTGCACTTATTAATTGGGTCAGCAGCAAATTCAACAAACTGACAAAAACTGACCCAAAGATTTGCCCGCTGACTAATCGACGACGAGCCTCAAAGGGCAACGCCACTAAAAACCGGATCTGGCCCAAAAATAAATTGGAAGCTACAGCTCGTATTTACCCCAGGGCCAGGCGCAAACAAACGCACACTCGATTGCTCAGTCGTTCAATCGCTCAGTCATTCAATCAAAATTTATTTGCCGCTTAGCGGTTTTACCCGAAGTTCATAAAAATTAAATATTGTTTATTAGTATGTAGCTCTGTCTGGGAATCGTGCGCGTGCCGAACTCTGTTGTGGTTGGTCAGTGATCAGTGATCAGTGATCAGGCATTAGTATTCGCACTCTTCACTCTCTTTCAATCACTTGCAGTTGGTCAATCAGTCAGTCAGACAGTCAGTGTGTGTGTGTGTGATTGACCTTGCAGCGTTTAAGTGCCATTTGATGTTAACGATTCCAAGAAAGCTGTTAATATGAGCAGGCCGCTGCTCCGTGTTAATTATGCTAATCAGCATAAGCATTTCACTCTGTTTATATACCCTGTAATCAATGAATCGCTATACTCAATTGAAAAATGGGGATCAGAGACTGCCATCTTTTCACTAGATTATCCGATTATCATTTCGTATTACTATTAAGTTTTCTAAAGGTCTATGTGATAATACAATGACTTATTTTCTGAATTACTCCATTACTAGACCCTGCTTAAGTGTTAAAAGTTGTTATCTGCAATGCCCAATCTTTCTATTCAAGGTCTCTCTCCGTTTCGTTCTCTGCACGCATATCTGTTTACAGGGTATTTCACCGTCTGTCATCCTACTTATGCCTTAAGTGTTTGTCAAACAGTCACCAGTTCAACAGTTCGTGTAGTTTTTATCAATCGCAAAGCTTTGACCATCGGGTTTTTTCGCCTGAGTCAGGCAAAAGTTTTTTGATTTTCGGTTTTCGGTTTTGGGGGCATGTTTGAAGCAGCCTGCTTTATAGTCAACGCACTTCCGATTGAGATTTTTGGAAATTAGTTTCAATATTTGCCAAGTAAATTCCCAGTAGCCGCGGCTTGAACTTGACCTTAGGCTGTGCGCACTCCGCTCTGGGCACCTTGTGCCAGCCAAAGAGCTGTTGCTCTGTAATCGGGTTCAGGGCTTCGATTGAGCTTTTAATTGCAAATCTTTAATCGAATAGCTCTTAAGTTGATATATGTCAAATATTGTGGGCTTGACATTCAATTCGATGATTTTATAGGTTAAAATACGTTAAATGAAATCTTTTTCATTTCATTTAATTTTTTGGTGTTTGGGCAACTCAGTTAAAAATGGATCTACGTTTGCTGCTTATATAAAGGTTAATTATATACATGCACACGAGACATTGATAGATTGCTTTATACTTATCTACATGCATGTTAGGCCTTACGTTTGTCTAGAAAACATGGAAATATGTAGGTATAAGACCTTTCCTATGTCTATTTCAGAAGTCTAGTAATATAGGACATATTCAATTTTTTTTTTCAAATTATTGATAGGGTTATCAAGATACAAAATAAGTCAAAAATTATTGTCGGTAATGGTGGGCTTGGAGATTATCTGAGCTCCGACAGATATAGGGGTCTATATCTTAGGTCTCTTTTTTATCAATGCAGATTGAGAGCAGATAAACATTTAACTCACCATCTAAACAACTATTGACTTCTTCCCGATTTACTCATTTACATCAATTTTGTAGGCCTGTGTTTTATATTTCTTTATCATCTCTAGCTTATAGATAATTTGTCACAGCTTTTGTAGCCTCTTCAAAACTTCGTTAATCTGTGTTTATTTGCACACTCCTCTTTGTCTCTGTCTTTCTCACTCTCTCTCTCTCTCTCTCTTTCTCTCTGTCATTCCCTCATTTTTTACTCGAAGGTCACTGGTTTTTGTCACAATTGCTTCATAACCAATAGCTGAATAACTCCCACATATCTCGCCATTTTGGCATTTCTTCATGCAAAGCAGACGCTAAAATTGGGCTCTAATTATGAGGAAGCTTTTTGTGCAGCTGCAACTGCAGCCGCGACCGCATTCACCGCCATTTGTGTATTGCAACTGTGCCACGGATTTGCCCAAAAAATAAATGAAGTTTTGGAAAATCCCGGCCAAAAGGCAATTGCAAGAGACGCCAAGCTTCAGTTAGCAATTGGCCTAGCCAATTCTCATTGCTCCGAGCCGGTCGTTAAGTCTTGGCCAGGCCTTGGGAAAACCCCGGCTCAGGTTTTGTGGCAAGCTAAGGCACATTGTTGTTGTGTCTCTCTCAGCCTCTGTTTGAGTTCGCCTTTATGTTTTTTTGTTTTCTGTATCTCTCGCTGTTTGTATGGCTTACATAATCCAAGCGCCGAATGCAGTCACAGCCGGCACGCGATGCAGTCGAGCTGAGCGAATCGCTGGCTCCGTGATTCATTTGACTCAAGAAATGTGTTTGAGCATACACTGAAAGAGGGTATATGAGTTTTGATATGACATATGTTCGGCATGAAATATAAGCAAATTATATTTATATATACACTTATGTAGGTATAAGTAATATAGATATGTCATATACAGTACAGTATATAGCAATGTGTATATACAAAATATAGTTTGATCTATGGAATTATATATATTCTCTAAGTAAGCAGACTTTAGGCTTTATGCAGTTTCCATAAAAAAAAGTCAGAATAATTTATGTCAGTTATTAATAACTTTTTATTTATATTTGTCTTTTATGGAAAACCTCTTCCAATTGTCTAGATACCTAACTTGGAATATTTTTATCATATCCAAAAGTCTTTATCAATATGAACCTCTATTAAAGAGTATATCATATTCATTAATTCATTTCTTAATGAATTTTCATTGTTTTTGATTGAATTTTGTTTTGATTCGTTTTGCGTTTTGCAGCTGGAATTTAAAATTTAAACTTTTTTTTTTTTTGCGGCGTTTGTTTTGCTTTTGCGAAACTGCATGTAATAAATTTGGATTGGTTTATTATTGTTGTTGTTTGATTATTGTATTTATCAGTTGGTTAATCGTCAAGGTCATTCACCCACATTGTGTGCCCGGCATGATTATCAGGCGGCTTAGCTAGGGTTTGCCTAAGACTGACTCATAGTTCGGGCTCTTGGCTTGGCTCTTTCGCAATGCCCGCATGGTCTAGTAATTTGTGAACCCTTTCACTGGTAGTCGTGTGGCATAAGGAAACAAGCGGCAACGCAACAAGTTGCAAGAGCAAGAGCCAGCAACACCTTCAATTTGTGGTGCCCCATCAGCTGCCTCAACTCAACTTCCGGCGCCAAGAAAAATTGTTTTTCTTGCTTTTGTTTTTGTTGTTACGCAGTGAAAGCCCTGCTGCCGCTGGTTCACAGCTGTTAATCATTTCTGGCAGCATTTGCCTAACATTGTCTCCACAGAGATCGTTGAGATTACATAAATTATTTAAATTGGGCTTTTTTCTACACCCTCTGCTCTTGGACTGCTTGAGAATGATTGGCTGAGCTCATTGAAATTTTCGCAATTTTGTGTTTGGAATATCAAACAGCGAATCATAAATATTTGCCCATCTCCTGGAAATCTGGAATCTCGAAATTTAACAAGTCAAGGTTAGGCAGGGTTCCTTCTAGTCGTATGGAGCATATTCTGGCTAATCTATCTGCCCCCAGCTCAGTTGCCAAATTGCTCAGTTCTGGTCGCAGCTTATTAGCTTTTTGGCCACTTAGCCTAAGTGCTTTGGCCCTCTGATTGGCCTGGCAAATAATTTGCTTAGCCTGTAAGTTCTTCATCTCTGCGCAAATTTTTCTGCTCTGCTTAACTTGTTAGATTTTGTTTTCTTTTGTGCGTCGCTGTCGTTGCTGCCTTGCTTTGTGTATACCACCAATGGGGTACCACCCATGGCCATGGCCCTGACCATTGCCGTTGGCATCCTTAACACTGTGCCAGCCCCGAGCCACACCCAGACCCAGACCCAGAGCTAAGCCGCCCCAGGTTAAGCCGCAGTCTCTGCGATGACAGCATAACGACGCATTCAAATTCCGCTCTATTGATAAACAAACAAACCGATTACGCAGCGGTGTGCTGGCAACGATCCAGCACCACTCATCACCACCCATCACCACCCAGCACCACCCATCAGCTGCCTGTTGTGATAATTGTGTGTGTGTAATCAGCGCAGCAGTTGGCATTGCTCTAGCTACGTCGTCGAATTCCCAGTAAATGCAATGAACTCGCCTCTCTCAGCTTTAAGCAGCTCGTATTGCGGCCTTTGCGGCGCTCGCTTTAAAATGCGCGCCACCTGGCGACCGGTAGTGGCAGCTCCGTCTGAATACGTTGGCATACTTTTGTATTGAGCGCTCTGGAGAATTGCATCATTGCACTCGAAACTGAAAATGACAGCCATAGATATTGGTCTGTGCGACTGCGGTTGCCTGGGTGGTTGCTGGGTGGTTGGGTGGTGCAGACAATGGCAACACATTCAATCGATAAACACCAATAATTGTCGTCGAGCTGCTCGCCTCTAAAGCTGTGCTGTGACCTTTGTCTGTGCCAGAATGTTTTGTGCTCCGAAGGCGCTTTCAATTTTACATAATATCAGAGCAGAGCAGATACTGCGGCGTCTAGGACTACAACGGGAACTGATCCCAAACACCATATAAGCGGCAGTTGTCACTGGCAGACACAGCGCATGGTTTCTGTTCCTGCATTTTGCTAAAATGCAAATGCGTCACTTTGAAATGTCATAAAAGATTGAGTTGCAAAAGTTATGCAGTAGACAAAAGCCGTATTCCGTATAGCCGATAAGTCGTATGTGTGCAGATATAACAATGTGTGGCTATATACATACGAGAAGCGAGGTCGATAAAGGCTTCTATATCTACTCAAAATATCTTTTCATGAAACTTGTGTAGCAATGCATCAGAGAAATATCAGCCTTGATATTAAAGGCGGCGTATGGGTTCTGATATATCTGTACCGTTGGTAGTGCTTGGTCAGTGCAGGTAGTGCAGGAAAAAACTGGAGCTAATATCGAGTGAAAGACAGAAATACATTGTATATCTACTTTAGAAAAGAAGTAAGCTGTTAGCCCTACAGCATAGGAGTCTGAAAAGAGGGAAGACACCTAATCTTAGGAAGGAGTCTGGCGAGACCTAACTGCCATACCTCGGGATAATTCCCAAGAAGGCTTCTTTGTTACGTTATTGCAAAACTTCGTTTCAGATTGACCACAAATTACATAACACCGTCTGCCGGAGTAGGGATAAATCGAAAAAAGACAACTATAGTTTGATAGCTAGTAAATGCAAATTTAAGAACCACCTTATTAAAATAGCTTATTGACTATCAAAAATGATATGCATATACCACTTGAAGGCACAGCAAAGCGACAAATAAGTTCAAGTTCCGATTAGAGTCGCAAAATTTGATATTTACATTAGATTACTAGATTAGATTACATTAGAGTACTAGGTAGATTACTAGATCCTCTTTTTACCATTTATCAAAATCTACTATAAAAGATTATTATGGCGCACAGCTCTAATTTATATTTCCTTGGAATGGCTCTTTCTTGGGAAAGCTGATATAAAGGTCTTCTATCCACTTCACTCATCTTATCAACTGCATTCTCGACTGTCCCAAGACTTACTCAATCGTCGCTTACTGCATTTCTGACACTTAAAATAACCTCGAGTTCATGCAGCTCACGGACTTGAGCACCTCAGGTCAATTGCATAATATGACCGAAAATGACCAGCGTTGCGGTCAACTCTTTGGCCAACTGTTGCCAGCCTGTTAACCTGGCTGGGGTTCACCTTTGGCTTGAGCATCGATATCAGTTGAAGAGAGTTCAAGGTTTACAGTTTCATAAATTTTCATTGTCATTGTGTGGCGCTTGCACGCTCTCGCTTTTCATCCAGCTAGACGAATCCCCATCGAAATTCCAAACGCTGGCGGGCCAAACACCTGGCGGCTGCATGGCTTCTTGCTTGTTATTGTCAACTCGGCGTCGGCCTACAGATATTACCTCTCTGCTGCTGGGTGAAGGCACTGTCTGCTAACGGGTCGAGTCGAAGGTTCATCAGCTTCTCGGATTATTTGTGTGGCTCCGGTGACGTCACCTCAACACCTAAATCAACTGTGAAACGTAGCGCAAAATTTAATTGGCATTTGCATTGATTTTAACGAGAGCTAATCCGCCAGTCTGTCAAGCCAACCCCTCGCCCTGCCCCACCCAAAAAAAGAGATGCAGACATCGATGCGGATTTGCAGACGTGGGCTTGTTTATTCGCATGTCAAATCAGTTCGCATAGAGCGTGGACAGAGTGTGTGGATAGAGATAGCTCCAGCCCATGGGCTCAAGCTTATGGGCGTGTACATAGGCAGCGGCTGGGCTCAGCGGAGTCAGTGGGGCAACAACCAGGCTGCGCACTGAACTGTGTGGTGCCAGCAATGTGGTGGTGCGGCGCGGCACAGTGTGGTGCACCACAGTGGTGCTCTGGTGGGACACAGCGGTCGGCACATGCTCCACGAGCTCAGCCCACTTGAGCAGTCCATGTGGTGCCAAGTGCAGCTCAGCTTGAGTCGAGCTCCATAGACTCAAGAGAAGTGTGAAAATCTGAAAGGTAAAAAGCGGAAAACTTGAGAACTTTCGCACTCTCTTTCTCTCTTTCTTCTTCACCAATTGCAGCTGCATCTTCCAGTGCTCCAGTTGAGTGCGATTCTTGGACTGTTCGCCCTTCAAGGAGCAACTGCAGCTTTTATAGCTGAGATTCTAATTGCAGTCCAGGGAGAAGGCGGCACCTTGAGCTTGAGACGACGCCAGCCGAGCTGCCAAGGCGTGTGCTCCAGTGTCTGCTGCTTACTTATAGTGCAGATCTTTTGGCACTGATTGCGTTATTTATTGATTATACACTGTAGTCGTACTAGAAAGGGGTATATTGGTAATCTATGCTTAGGTCTGGAACATTCTACCATACATAGAGTGAATTTACAATACTATGTGTAATGATGTAGAATGATGTAAAATAAGGGATTGATATTTCAATATACTCAATATATCGATGGTATATAAGGATATTGTCATATACTGTCTATATAGAGTATAAAGACTTCACCTTAAGCATGAGTAGATCAAGTTGGTTGTCCAAATACACTCGATTTTTCTAAGTTTCTATAAAATCGATAAACATCGATAATCGATTTGCTGTTAAGGCATTATACCAACACTTATGCAATGCTTGTTTGCCTACGTAAAGCTTCAATTGTCAGCGAACAGGGAATTCTCGAGTCGTTTACATTTCAGTACACGCCCGCCTTCTTGCTCATTAAGGTCCCGCCTGGACAACAATGGTGGCAGACGTCTGTTGATGTTTATTGAATTGCTGTGAGCTGTTGGAAAGGCAGGCAGACGGAGCTATCAAAGGAACAAGCGCAACAGATTGCAAATGCGAATTCTTTATTCCAAACAAATAGTAAATAGATGTAAAAGTAGAGAGACAGATAGACAGAAAGAGAATTGAAAATGGCAGGTAAAGTGTCAGAGGCAGAGAAGATAGATAGAAAGAGATAGATAGACGTGTTAACTAGAAGAAGAAGCAGAGTTTTGTCGTTGTTTTCTCTTTGGTTTCATCTTGTTGCTCGTTAAGTTGGCTTTTTTCGGGATCTACTGCTGGAGCAGCACCACGCGAGGATCAGCGGAAATGGTCCAGATCAGGGGCTGCTGCTGACGCACCAGCTGGGTGGTGCGCACCGCTGGACCTACAATGGGCGTGACGAGGCGTCGATGATCGTGCACCACCGTCTGACTCTGATGCGACACCGCTGTGGGCACATGCTCCACCAGCTCACCCAGCTTGGCCACCGTGGGCTCCTGTATGGTCAGCACGCTGCGCAGACCCGACCGAGCGGCGACAATCAGTGGCAGTGGCACGGAGACAGGCACCGCAGTGACCAGACGAGCGTCGGCGGCTTCTGCTATGGCATTGCTGGCGGACGTTTCAGCTGAGGCTTGCTCCGGCTCCGGCTCGGCCGAGGAGGCGCTGCTCTCGTTGACCAACTCGGCGGACTCCTCGCTAATAACCAGCGGCACAGGCTGCGACGAGGATTTGCTGGTGCTCAGAGCAACCAGATTGGCGGGCCATTCCAGCGTAGCAGCCCCAGCGGCAGACAGCCAGATGGCCGCAAAGGCGAAAAGGCTCAGGCGCTGCAAGGTTGTCAGAGAGTGAGAGAAGTGCTAGACTGGCCAAGCAATAGGCAATAGATTGACTCACCAGCTTGAACATGATCTGAGAATCTCTATTGGAAACTAGATGAAGGCAGCTAATTGACTGATGCTGCAGCCAGAACTTGGGCCAGCTTTTATAACAGACGTTGCGCCTCACTGAAGCAAGAAGATATCTAGATCGATGATTTCGTTGAGTGCATGTCAAGCGGGTATGCACGGCCGGCTGCTTGGAAATTCCTAGTTTCTAGAGCTAGAAGATCGAGGAATCCATCCCTTCAACATTTGTTCATCGCTTCACTCTGATTCTTATACTCCCTAAAGTCTAAACTTTTTACCCATATACCCTTAATATACCCATTAGTATAACGTGATTTCAAACGTAAAACCAGAAACATTTATTTTGTTTTCATATTTTTGAAATTTGAGACAGATTGAAGGGAGACGATATCAAGTTTGATTAGTGTATAGTGAATACTCTGTTAAACAAAATTCTCCGGGATGGGTATGTCGCACTTGTGCTTCTCCTCCATCCCAACGTAAAACCATAAACATTTACTGTGTGATATCTACAAGTATGAGAGGTGCGAGAGGGCGAACGACAGGCAGAGCAAGCCTGATTAGTGTACTTTGAAGACTCCAGCTATAAAGAGTGCGTCTAGGTATGTTGTACTTGTGCTTCTCCTCCAGCCAAACGTAGAGCTAGAAACATTTCCTACTTGATATCTTGAAAGATGAGATGAACACGGGCGAACGCGCTAGGAAGAAGAAAGGACCAAAACCGATAAAAGTAAAGTGAACTTAGGCTACGTAAGGTCGATTCTGCGGCTTGGGCGTGTTGCATTTGTGCTTCTCCTCCAGTCAAACGTAGAAGAGAGAGGGAAGCCGTGGGTATGTGTTGTGTACAGTAAACATTCATTTAACGAGAACAGATCTTCTGGGATGGGTATGTCGCACTTGTGCTTCTCCTCCATCCAAACGTAAAACCAGAAACATTTAAGTGTTTGATATCTTGAAAGTTAAGTAGAGCTAGAGACAACGCGTGAGATTCAGGGAAGGGGCAAGTCCGTTTAGTGTGCGGTGAATACTGCGGCTAGCCTAGAGCAGATTCTCTGGCAGGGGTATGTCGCACTTGTGCTTCTCATCCAGCCAGAAGTGTTCCAGATAGCTAATGGGATCCTTGGGCTGATCACGAGCCAGAGCCACCATGCCCTCCATCATGATGGGCACCACCTCGCGGTCCAGATATGCGCGTAGCTCGTCGCCAGAGCGATAGAATGATGCCTTTTCGCACACGGGCTCTGCGTCGGCTTTCTTTGGCTTTGGTGGCTTCACAATCGGTTCGCATTTAACGACTTGTGGTGGCTTTTCGACGGGCGCGGGCTTCGGTGGCGGCGGCAAATCCTTCTTGCAGCACATAACCCAATTCTTTTTGCTGGACTTTTTCTTTTTCTTGACTACGACATCATCACAGTTTTCATCTGCTTCAGCCATTTTGTGGGCAAATAAATTATTTTCGAGTGATTGGAAATACAAAAAAAAAAAAAATGTTTGGAAAAATGAGGAAAAATTTGTAGTTTACTTTACTGTGTTGTTCCTATTTCTGTACTAAAATGTTTATGGTCTAAGCTGAGTTCATAAATATGACATAAAACTCAGAGCTGCTTTGAGGAATTCTATGCTAACTTGATGCAGCTGCTGCTTTTAATTTTGTATATATTCCAAATGTCAAAATCAGCAAAGTCGAAATATATCCATAAAAAACAAAAATAAAATAAAATAAAATAAAATATATTATTATATTTAATAAAATATATTTTAAAAATAAATATTTTTTATGAAACACATTTTACATATTTTAAAGTCAGGTAGACCGAAAAAAAAAATTAAATGTTTAAATTTATTTATTTTTTTTTTTTTTTTTTTTGAGGTACCCCTTTAGTTCGGAGCCTCTTTCCTGCCTATACCCTGTAAAAAGTTGCAAACATAAAATGCAAAAATGTATCTTAATTAAATTGATTTTTATTGAAACACAATTCTCGCTGTATTGTTGCAAACAATCCGAACGCACACACCTACACAGACACATACACAGATCTGGGAGTATGCGGTACGAAAACCCGTTTGACACACCCGCCATGCCTGCCGCCGGCCGACTCCTGCTCGGTCGCACTTAAGCCGCTTAGCGCTAGAGGGCGCCACGTGTGGCAACTTATGCAATTGGAGCCGTCGCTGGGGCTGCGCAAATGAAGCGCAGCATCTGCCAATCGAATGCGCGCCGTTCCACTGTGACAGACCCAGCACTCGAATGGGTAGCCATATATATATATACATGAATGATATATGATATATATGATCCACATGCAGGCTCAATCAAGTTTTGAAAACGATTTGCGCGGTGCCAGCGCAATTTTTCGTTTGAAAAACTTGTTCAAGTCCGCATTGAGGCCGCCGAAGAGCGCATAGCACAGTCGATTCTCCAGCTGCCAGATCAAGTGGTCCATCCGACAGAATACCGCGAGTATCCGGAAGATCGTCAGAGCGAGCAGCACGTACAGCTGCAGCTGGCAGCGCCTCAGGCCGAGCAGCAAGCGGCTGTGGTTCAGCTGCACCAGGTAGAGCCAGGTAACGAGCAGCGCCAGCTTGGAGTTGCTGCGTAGTGGTCATCAATGGAGTTGGGTTGGGTTGGGTTCAAGCGGGATGGCGTGCTCAGACTCACGTGCTCAGCTTCACATAGGCGACATTCTGCAACTGACATCGATTGATGAGCAGCGCTGCGACGGGCTTCAGGAACTCGGCTCCACTGCCTATTACAGTGCCAATTATCAGAATGGGCAACGTGGCGGTTCGCCCGTAAGTCTTGGTGGCCAGCTGCACGCCCCGCTCGATGTGCAGCACCTGGTTGAGCGCCGTGACCTGTGCGACCAGGCAGCGGCAGGCCGCCGTGCGGGCCACGGCGTAGGCCACATCGAACGGGCTGTAGAAGACGATGTACCAGGCGGCTGTGCACAGCGCCACATCCTGGGCGTTGTTCAGTGGCTCCAGCGGCAGAATGCCCAGCAGGAGGCTGACCAGGATGTCGCCCGCATAGCTGAGGAGTATGTGGGTGAGCCAGAGCGTGAAGGGTCGCATCTTCTGGCTGCGCCGTCCGGCCGAGGTCTTCCACAGCTCATCCCGCAGCTGGACGGCGATGAATGCGTGGTGCAGGCCGCGGAAGACGATGTGGTTCGATAGTTGCTTGAGCAGCTGCTGCCAGTGCATCGTTGGCGTCGCATGCAGAGCCGGCTGCTGAGATCCTTGGCCCCTTCTGCCTCCTTCCTTCTTGCTTCCTTTCTTCACAGCTGATCGGGTCTCAGTGTTCGCGACGTTCGTTCGGATCGCAGTCGTTGTAGAAACTTTGAAAGCTCACTTGAATTTCGAGACGGTTTTCAAATTGTTTGCTTAATTAAAAAAATTTCTTGAAATGTGTAAAACACGAACTAAACTAACTGAAGCTGCGTGTGTGCGTGTGTGTGTGCGTGTGTGTGTGCGAGTGTGTGGGACTGAGCCCGCAGCGAGGCAAAGCTTATGTTGCGCACGGGCTTGATGCGGGGCAGCATCTGATGCACCACCGGGTGGGCGGCGTAGGTGAGATGCGCAGGTGTGTGGTGCACTTCCTCCAAGCCATTGTTGACCTTTGCATTGACAATGCGCACTGTGGGCGTGGCCAGGATTAGCTGTGGCTGCTGCTGCGGCTGCGGCGCCGTCGACAGTCGCACAAAGCTTTGATGGGAGATGGCGCTGCCCGCCGCCTGCCCAACCTTCGGCGTGTGCACAATGGTTGCCGCCCAGCTGGAAGCGAACGTCGCCGAAACGAGGAGGATTAGTAGCAGCTGTTCCACGGCGGCGATATGCATGCTGAATAACCGTTGTCCGTAGAGCAAATAAAGCCAAACGACTTGCGCCCCGAGCGTTTTTATAGCTAATCGCTCCGAGAGACTCTTGAACAGCTGCAGCTAAGGTCGACGGCAGCCAGTCAGCAGCCGAACCCTTCCACGAGCTTAATTAATTAATCAAAGTAGTCAAACAGCAAAGAAAGAAGAAATCAAATACAAAAAAAAGTGCGTCAATTGAAACGCACTTAAAGCTTCAATTACGCGCCTCGGGCTAATTGTTAAAGTTGGCGAACGCAGCTAATTGAAGGCGAAGAGAGAAGACGGAGAGAGAGAGAGAGGGAGACGAATAGCAACTGCTTATAAAGCAAAGTAACAAAGTTACAAATTTGATGTGTTGTATGCCTGTCAAATACCCTGTAATAAGTTAGACTTATGAGAGGCTAGATATGCTGGCAAATGTGAATATCTTAACAAAATTTATCGAGTTGTCCAGGAAATTATTTTGTATCAAGAGAAGTTTTTCGACTTATATAAAGGCTAAACGAACTTTTGTTTTTAGTAAATAATTAATACTCCGCATAATAAATTTAATATGATTAGCACATTTGCTGTGATTTGTTTGAAAAGACAAACGCTTCTTAGTTTAATGCCTTATCAAAATAATTCATAGGAATATATAGCTACAAGAAAACGAAATGTGAAATAAATATGTAATACATTTTAATAATATGATAAAATAATAAATATATATAAATAAAATAAAATAATAAATTTATATATAGATATATAAAATATAAAAAAAATAAAATAAAATAATAAATGTATATATAGATATACCCTTAAGTTCAAGGCAGTAAGATTCTTAAGATTCGCTACTACTATGTCCAGGTTCTGGTAATTATACCCCACACACTTGCATTCGCTTCTTTTACAGGGTATTTAAAGCAATAGATTTCAGCTACAAGCTACCGCCGAGGGGCGACCAACCTTCAGCGGGTTGCGCATGCGTTGCCATAGACAGACTTAGCTGACTCGCACCACTCGCAGCACCACTGACACCACTCATTGTTGTTGTTGTTAGTAATTGTTGTTATTGTTATTACTACAATATTTGCGGCATTCGCTCGTATTTATTTATACACTTCTTTTCGTTTCTTTCGTTTTTTTTTTTTGTGTGTTTTATTGCTTTACGTAAAGCGTCCAAGTTGAGACACTCCCACAATTGCAAGAGAAACCAGCACAGAGTCAGAGGCGTCGCCACTGTAGCTACACCCTCGACTGCCCCGCTTGGCACAGCGAGCGCTACGCCACTGGCTTGGGCCAGCAATTGCTTGGCTGTGATTTCATGGCACAGCAATTCACACTGCCATTCAGTTTAGCTTAGCCACTCGCTTCGTTTTCGTGCTTATTGAGGCTGCCAAGCAGCGGAGAAATAAATCTAGAGCCGCCCCCGCCCCCGCCCCCAACTCAATCGCTTAGACGAAGATAATGCGGCTCTTGGTGAGTTTACGATCTAAAGACTATATGGCATCCATATTCATACTTAAATCGGCTTGCAGCTGCTGCTGGGACTGTTGGGACTGTTGGCTCTGGCCTTGGCCAGGCCCAAGCAGATGCTGCTGATCGATTCGGCTCCCTCGGTCGTCTCGTACCAGGGCTCCTCGCAGACGCACACTCGCTTTGTTATTGCGCCGATGGGCCGTGCCCTGGGCTATGTGGAGCCCACGAATGTGAATCGCACCTTTCATACAAACTCCAGCTCCACTAGCCTCTCAGCTGGCCATGAAGTACTCCAAATTCGACCCGTCTATGTGCCCTGAGAGTATTTGTAGTCGAATGTCATTGAGCTAGGCTGTGTGTTATACGTATAGGTACATAAGTATTGTAAGGGGTACGAACCTACTCGGAAATATACTGAAATAACCTAAATTTTATATCATATTCTTACAAGTTTCTTTAATTCTTATAAAACCAAAAAAAAAAAAAAAAAAAGGAACCCAACCGGCCATAAATAAGGATAGATCATGTCGCTAGCTCGTCGTTATTCCCGACTGCCGGCGCCTGGGGCGATGCTGAAGCTGGTGCACGCCTCGGAGGCGGCCCTGGAGGAGTCCGCTTTGGATTTCTATGAGAAGAGCAACTTGACATGGCGCTCGCAGTACACGAATCCGTCCCTGGCCCGGCTCGGCATCGGCACCGAGTTCCTGCCGGCGAAGGGCAAGCGGCACAAGTCGTCGACGAACGGCGACACAGAATCGGAGAATCAACAGAATGGTAATAGAACCTATCGCATCTATCATGTTTCTGAGTTTCTGGACTATTTGCCGGAAATCGATTCGGACTATGAGAACTTCGTGCCGATCACCACACTCACGCCCAATTCAAATTTCTGACTTGTACAATAATCCCGCAATGCAAAAACGTCCCACCTAAAACCAAACCCAACCCAACCAAATTTTCTTCTTTGCTGCTCTCGACTCTCGTTTCTGATCTGTTCTTCTCTTCCTACTCCTCAATCGCAGGATGGTCGTGTCTGGTCAATCGCTGTCGCATCTGAAATGCTGTCGGCCAGCGACTGACCCGTCCCAACGGATACCGCCGCACTTTTATATATGTATGTAATCTCTCAATGCTCTCTCGCTCATTGACGTCTGCTCGCTGTGCCTCTCTGTCTCCCTCTGTCTGTCTCTTTCGCTCCCACTGCTTTGTGAAATAAATGTGCATTTCATCTTATATTCACAATCTGTTCGACCTTCGCTCAGCGGCGTCAGAGCCCTAGACTTGGCTGACTTTAAGACGGCGCTTTGAGCCTTCACGAAGGTTGATCTGTGTGGGTGTGTCTGTATGTGTGTGTGCGTGTGTCAAGCGGAGCTTTGACTGATTGAAGTAGGCTTTTTCTTGTACTCGAATGATTGATATCGTGACACGAGCACGCACGAAATGCTGTTCTCTAAGTCAAATTCGCTTCGTCTGTCAGGCATGCAAAGCCTTAGCATAAAGTTTTGATAAATTGACGTATGTAGATAGCAAAAGCTATAAGCGATGTTAGATGGATATACTTCGTGTGTTTGCTAATAGTCTGCTACAGCTGTAACTGATTGAAGTCGGCTTCGCTTATGCATTTAAATGAATGCAGAGGAAATTTAGGAACTTGAGAACTTCTATGGGCTTTATATGTCCAAACGAATAGCTTCTATATAGCTTTGGCTGTTCAATATACTATAATATCTGCAAAGCTCTTATCAATGATTGATTATATGTTGAAAGCCTAATTGAAAATATGAGAAATTGGATTTTATTATGCATCCATTGATTGATGACTCGATGATTGATGATAGAAATACACTTTTCTATATTGCTTATGATTGATGCTAAAAAATACTATTTTATGTTATTTATTTCCAATTCGTTCCACATTGCATATCTATGAAATGGTTGATTGCAGAATAGCCGAAAGCTGAGTTCAGGGTTTCAGATAACAGACATTTCGCCAACTAAGCTATTCTAGTAATTGAGATCTTACATTCATTACTCACATTTGAAAATATATATATATATGTATTTTTATTAAAATATATTAGTATTGTTCACTTTAGGAAATAATCTTTTAATATTCCCACATCAATCACCGACTTGCCTACAAAGCGCAACTTCAGCTCTGTTTGCTGAGAAGAGATCCCTTCCGCCCGCTTTATCCAGCAATGTCCCAGTTCAAGTTCAATGCTGACCCCGCAAAAAAATAAATAAATGAAAAAGTATGAAATAATAAAATGATAAGCAATTTGCTAGAAACAAGTTTGCGAATTTGCTTTGCGTTTGCTTTGGTCTGTTTGCGTTTGTGTTTGTGTTTGACTCGGGTTTGTTTGCGTTTGCTTGAAGGACACTTGGGCAAACATGTTGACGATATAAAAGTCCGGAGCAGCTGCCTCAACAGCAACAGTCTCTCGTCAGCTGCAATCCAACCAAAAACCCAACTCTAAAAAATGTTCCGTTTCGTAAGTTGCTATAGGGACTAAGGATCCTGGATTTCGTCTAATCCTGTTTCAACTTTATAGATCGCTATCTGTGCCCTGGCCACCATTGCCGCTGCCGCTCCTGGTTTCGTGGAGCAGCATCATGTGGTTGCAGCACCCGTCGTTGCCAAGGTAGGCGCAGTGGTGCACAGCGCACCCGTCGCCACCTCCCACCAGAGCTTCACGCAGTTCCACAACCAGGCGGTCATCACGCCCGTGATCAAGCAGGTGGCTCCAGTGGTGCCCGTTGTCAAGCAGGTGGCTCCCGTGGTGCCCGTGGTCAAGCAAGTGGCTCCTGTGGTGCCTGTTGTCAGCCATGTGGCTCCCGTGGTGCCCGTCGTGAAGCACGTGGCTCCAGTCGTCCAGCACCAGACCTATGTAGCGCCCGTGTCCGTTGTGAAGACTCTGCCCCACGCTGTCTCCCACCAGAGCCACACCCAGATCCACCAGAAGTCCATCATCACCCCAGTGGTTGCACCCGTGATCAAGACCATCGCCACGCCAGTGGTTAAGCATGTTGCCGTCGCTCCCGTCGCTCATGTCTATCATCACTAAGAAGCTTTTCTGATTGATTTGTTGATTATTTGAAATAAATTGGGAATGTTAAACGAAGCTAAGAATTTCTTATTTTATTTCTTAATTACTTTTTATTTAAATATTGAAGTATATAACCAGATATATTTTTCTTTATTAAAAAGTTTGTAATTGAATATATAGTAGAATCCCGATAATTCGAAAAGGGATCAGTTTTTTTTCCATTTACGCATAAATTCAAATTATCGAGAATTATTGAGACAGAATTTCTTTCAAGGGAATAGAATTTTTTTTTTTCAATTTATCGAGATTTTACTGTATTTACTGAATATATGTATATTGAGCTTTTAAGTGAACAAGGGAATATGAGTGTATTGTAATAGTCTCAGTAGGTTTATTGAGGCCTTATTTTATCTAACATCAATATATGATTGCCTATGCATATGAATAGATGGATACTTAGAATGACTTATATAGATTTATTCATCAACAGTGTTTTGATGCCTTTCAATACTTTTTCTCATTTAATATATATATTATGTGGATGTTCTTTTCTGTTAAAATGTATTTCCTGCACGGAAAAGCTTTACAATTTATTCTTTTATACTCTACGCCATTGAATTTAATTCCCATGAAAAATATGTTGTGCTATTTTAGTTCACAATATTTCATGTTATGCATTTCATTTTATTCTGTTCACTCAATGAATATTGTAATTAACTTAAACAAAAGAAAAAAGGTCTTGTCTATGTTTAGAAATGTCTGTTAGGCATGCCATAGAAACAAATTCCTAGTATATAATAGAGTTCTTTAGTCGGACTAGAGCTGTTGAAGTGTAAAGTTTTACAGCTCATTACAATTCCAATTGAACTCCCAACCAGTCCAATCAGAGGTAAGCATAAGGCTATCAAGTTTTTGTTATTCTACAGGAACAATTTTTACTTCATATAAATAATTCCGATTCAGTTCCAATGGAACTCATTTTCAATTCCAATTCAATTTTAATTCATTCCATTTTTTGGTTATATTTTATATATTTAAAAACCATAAAAATCGATATTTATTATCGATTAATATACAAAATTATAAATTTAATTCCCAAAAAATAAAAATCTGATTCCTCCCCCTAATTACTTACCTAGGAATCAAAATAACAAAAGTTTTACGAGTTGTAGTTTAAAAATTCAGTTTTATTTTGTTCACTTTGCACATAGATCGCTACATAGATCGTTACGGCTTATTTGTGGAGGGTAGTGTAGGCAACTGGAGCGCTGACGACGGTCTTGACCAGAGGGGCTGAGTGCACCACGGGGACAGAGTGCAGCAGGGGGGCGGCGTGCACGACTGGAGCAGCGGCGTAGGTGCTGACAACGGGAGCGGCATGGACGACGGGAACGGAGTGAACCAATGGAGCGGCATGGACAACTGGGGCAGCGTGCAGGGTCTGGACAACGGGCACCTTGCGCACCAGATTCACATTGCTCTGGTGGGTGATGGCCGAGGAGGCGCTGGTGTCCACGTAGGCGGTCTTGGTCAGCACAGCGGGCTGCACAATGGAGTGGGTGGCGGCCAACAGACCAGGAGCAGCTGAAGCCACAGCAACACAGGCAAACAAGGCGATCTGCAAAGAGGAGAAGAGCATTTATACCCCAGGCCACTCACACACTCAATCCAACCATGGAACTTACGAGCTTGAACATTTTGGAGTTTGGTTGGGTTTGGTTTGGTTGGAGTTGTGAGTCGATTACAACTGCTGATGTTTGGGGCATTGAACGAGTGCTTTTATACGAAGCTGGACTGTAGTTATTTTCGTTGATTACTTTTTTTTTATTTTTATTATTTTTCTTTTGACTATTTTTGGTTATTTCAATTCTGGTTGGGCTTGAACTTGAGCCGTCAACCGGTTTGGCTAAGAGAGCAGCTTCTAAGCTGCGATAAATATCCAATGGGAAGTTCATTAACTGACCTAGGTCTGGCCATTGTAAACCGCTTTAGGTGTGTATGTGTGGTGTGGTGTGGGTGTATGTGTGTGTAATAGGAAGCTAAGTACTTACTTATTGTGCCATAAGTCTCGCTGCTGCTGCTGACAATTGAATCAGCTTCAATGGGAGCTCTAATTGGCTTTAGCTTTGCTCTGCGCTTACGCAAATTGTTAAGATGAAGCTGTGTGTGTGTGTCTGTGGGTGGGTAAGTGGGTATGGCTTATCCTGCGGCTGACTTAATCTTAAGTGCATCTGCTGGCATTTCGCTGTTATCTTCACCATCAATGCCATCTTCATTGGCATTTGCGTCGACCTAATTGAGTTGCAATCATTCTCTTACACATTGACAACTTGCATTTCATTTCATCATGCGTGGGCGTGTTCCCTGTTTGAGAGTGTGTATGAGTGTGTGTGTCTTGACTAAGTCTTGTGTGTGGTCCCAGCAATTGAGTTATGTGGCTCGCTTGTGACGTTACGTCTTCTAATCGATACGAATTGGCACTGCCAGGAGTCGCGCCTCTTGCGAAAGCCACTCGTGCGATTTAATGAAAGAGACGTCATGAGAGAGACAGAAATTGAAAGAATTTGATATGTTTCATAAGAGAGCATTAAACGATTTCATAGGTGGCCGCATAACAGCACAAGGCTCGTATGAGAGCTACGCAATCGTAAGACATCCCAAAAAGAGTTCAATGAAAGTGTCTTAAGTGTCGCAATTAGAGCGAGCAGCTGAAAGACGAGCTCTGCCCTTAATAGAACAACAATTTATATAACCTAATGGAATCTCCAGAGCACTTTACAGAAAGACAAACGATAAAAACTGTTATGCAAAAATGAAAAAGTTAATTGTTTCGCCTAGAGCGTTCTGTGAATATAACAAATATCAGGATTCAGCCAGAAAGGTTGACGTAGAACATATGGAAATCAATAAAATTTCAATTGATTCTCAATTAGGGTAACTTTTAAGATTTTTATTTAGCCAAACATCTCCCATGTGTGGAGACCACAACAAAAGCAGCTGAAGCCTTGTCGACCTTAATAGACGATTTGTCTAATCGATAGAATCATTACGGCAAGCGAATAGTATATTTCCGGGCTTCATTTATAAAGTTTAATTGGCATGACAGAAGGTCAATCTTATTTTTATAGGCTTCTAATCAATTATATTTTTGTGAAATGTCATTTACCTTTACAAAATTTCTGAAACGTGCGAAACATATTTCTTAGAGTTCAATTTGTTATTATTAATAGAAATGCCAAGACTAAGATTTTTATTAACATGCGAGGTTTTCCTTTGAAACTGTTATACAAAAGTTAACTTTGTCTATTCTTAAATATAATGCTTTTGGTAACTGTTATACAGCGCTGAATGTAATTTATGTATAACACTTGTTATTCAAGTGAATATAACTCCTTAATATAACTATGATTTTTTGGTAGATCGGAGATCTAGATCGCAACAGATCCTTTCTTAGTATAACAGTAAGTATAACAGTAAATTAAAGAGCCTCGCTTAATAGCAATATAACACTTGTTGGGAACTGTTATACATTACTTAAATGAATATAAATCCCTTAGATCGGTTATAAATAGCAACAGATCCTGTCTTAGTATAACAGTTAAGTAAAAATCCTCGCTTAATATCAATAACATAATTTCCAAGTATAAAAGAGTCTTTGGTTAGCCTACATCTAGCATAGCGATTTCTGTTTGTCATGGACATTAGCCTCGTTTCTGCTTTCAAATCTTGAACTTGATTCAATTTTGTTGTTGACCCAGTTTCACAGTTGATATCCAGAACACGACTGCAAGACATGCCTTGCCCTTATTCACGCATTTATGATGAGGGGGAACGGTGGCACGCCGAGAGACAATAAGAAATAAATTATACACATTGCAATTGGAGCTGCAACATTCAAATTAAAGAAAAATTGCAACATCGTCAGACGCGTAATCGTGGTCGACACAGACGCAAAGATCCAGTTGATGTTGATTGTTGTCTCTGTGATTCATGGCCAAAAGCCAGACCCACATATGCGGCGGCTGCTGTTGTTGTTGTTGTTGTAGATAGCCATAAAAATACCGCCAAGTGCAGCTGCCGCTGTTAAGTGCCCACTTAAGAGGCTACGGCTCAGGCCCTATGTCAAGGTTAAACCACGGACGACAAGCCCCACGCGTACTTAACCCACAATTGTTTTTGTTTATAATTTTTTTCTTTTTTTTTTTTTTTGACACGATCTTTGAATATTTTTTGTTTTATTTTAATTTTATTTTTATGTTATTGTAATGTCGCGCCGCACGCCGTGACAGTTACACGTACTTAAGATAAATATCGTCAAAAATTCATTTACGAAAATGAAATACGCAGCCAAAATTTACAAGAGTCGTCGTGCTCCGCTCTTCACTTCCCGCTGCTTTGCATTTGCCACTGCCTCTACCTCTGCTTGATCGTAAATCCTAATTTCTGTGGTGCGACGTGTTCAGTGAACTGCAGTTGAGGTAGGTTGCTGCGGTTGCTGAATGAATTATTCAATGAACTCAGTTGGACGAGTGGCTCAGCGATCGTTTTGGAGGATAGCTATGGTTAAAATTGACTAATTTTATAAGTCCTGGTAAAGAGCTTTTTAGGCATTGCATACAGATCAAGAGATTGAGCTCGAGGATCTTTTGCTACCTAGCTTGTTAATCAATCAATCAGACTATAAATTTGATATACTAACGGTATGGCTATAATTAAGGCGTACTTGGTTAACTTTGAGCTTACAAGATTCTGATTGTGCGCCTGTTATCAAGCATTAAATCAAATAGTCAATTAACATTAAATCTTAAAGGTTTAGATCAGTTAATATCTTAGGCAAAATGTTTTGTCTACAACAGAGGAATTATTTAGTCTCATCAGTCCTCAATCAAAGAGCTAGGCCTTGCAATAAATTTGCCTAGGACATATGACTACTTTATAGCTAGCATGCTCATCAATCAATCAGTTCACCAACTCTTTTACCTCAGCTTCTTCATCATTCAGCCTAACTGGCTGATTAACCAATCACCCACTGCTTCAATTCAATCAATTCAAATCAATTTACACATGGCTTGCTCATCACTCAATCAATCAAACAGTCAATCATAGCTTGTTCAGAACAGAATCAACATTCATTGCCCGCAACAGGCAAATACTAGAATATATTTGGATATTTATCCTATATTGCTTTAAATCCTGTCTCCAGCTTTTTCATCAATCAGCCAATAAGAGCCTTGGATCAATTTATAGGCCTACTTCAAATGGCTTTACATCAAAGAACTTTCAAGATCTTTCTTCACAATTTGCTCTCTCTCTCTCTCAAAACCTACTTGAGTGCGCGAATCTGCCATCAGATGGCGAACCAGTTCAGCTCATTTGAATGCTCAGCTGTGGTGTTTAGGCCTTCAGTTAATCCAGCGCAACGAATTGACAAATGTCAATTTGTCGCTTTGATAATTAGCCCATTTAGCAATTTTGGCCAAACAATTGTCAACAGTGTCAACTTTCGGTATATAAACGTCTCGTAGGCCTCATTGCAGCATGAGTTCTTACTGGAGTTCGGTGCTAGCCAATTCAAATTAAGACTAGATCCAATTCAACAGACAGAAACGACATGCACAGAGCGGTAAGCGAAGAGTTGAATTCTGTATTTGAAGCACATTTAAATACCCTTTCTCATTATGGCAGTTGCTTTACTCTTTGGCATTTGCCGCCTGCTTGGCCTTTATTGCCGGAGATGCTGTGTGGTTGCTCAGACAGGCTGGGATTGAGGCTAACAATCGGAGCTGTCAATACAATGAAAATCTCATCAGGCATATGGATCCATCACAGACTTCGCTTCCACTCCACTGGAGCCAGGCGAGCAGTGGCCGGCTTAGTTTGAGCTAAGAGTATTTGCTAGCTTTGTATTTGTTGTTGATAATTTTATTTATTTTTATTTTTAATAAAGTTGAATGTTAACTGCAGTTTTCTTTTTTAATGGAAAGCATTTATTTATTTATTTATTTTTTTTTTTAATATTATTTAAATGGAAAGAATTGATACTTTTTAAAGATTTTTTCCTTTTTTGTATATGAAAAATATTTTACATATTTTTCCATAATATTTTTATCATTTATTTTAAAAATTAAAAGCCATTAATTTATGTTTCAATAATACTTTGTAATATCTTATTTATTTTGCATATTTTTATGATCATAACAAAACAATGTCCACTAAAGTTCCCTAATGATGCAGAGTGTAGGCCAGAGGAGCTGTGTGCAGCACGGACTTGACCAGAGGAGCGGAGTGCACGACTGGCACCACAGCAGGAGCAACATGGACGGCATGGACAGCTGGAGCAGCGTGGATGGTGGTCTTCAGGACGGGAGCAACAACGTGCTGGACGACAGGCTTGCTGTGGACCTGGGTGATGCTCTGGTGGGAGACAGCCGAGGGAGCGCTGTGGACAACGGTGCCCACCTTGGCCAGAACGGGCTCGTGGATCACACTGTGAGTCTCGATGAGACCGGCGCTAACGGAGGCAACCAGAAGGGCAACAATGGCGACCTATAGAATGAACCGGATATCCTTTATGAGAGCTGAGCTCCATCTACGCATCCAAACACACTTACGTATTTGAACATGTTGAGTTTAGTTGTTGTTGGGACTGATGGTTGTCTTGCGCTGAAGATGACGGGGTCAACTGATGCTGTTGGGTTCTGTGTGAAACGCTTTTATAGCTAAGGGCCTCCATATCAGCCAGAGAAGTCGTTTACCTTGATGCTGATAAGACAGCAGCAGCAGCACCAGCAGTCGTAGCTGAGCTCGAGTCGTGCCTGCATTTGCTTCGTAGCTGCAGCTGTCGGAAATAAAGACAAACGAGTTGAGTTCGGCTTTGGTTTGGGGATTCGGCGCTGGACTTATTGCTGAGTCGCTGTGAAGGCCGCAGCTGTGGCTCTCGTGTGTTCCTCGACCCGTGCTCGTTCTATATAAACACGACTGCAGACCCCCGAAATATCATCAGTCACAATTCAAAGCTAAACGAGCTAAAGTTCAAGCAAGCCCAACACACAAAATGTTCAAATACGTAAGTTCACTTTGGTTCAAAGAGCTGAATTCCAATTCATTCCTTGTTTCCCTTGTTCCTTTCACAGGTCGCCATTGTTGCCCTTCTGGTTGCCTCCGTTAGCGCCGGTCTCATCGAGACTCACAGTGTGCTCCACGAGCCCGTTCTGGCCAAGGTGGGCACCGTTGTCCACAGCGCTCCTTCGGCTGTCTCCCACCAGAGCATCACCCAGGTCCACAGCAAGCCTGTCATCCAGCACGTTGTTGCTCCCGTCCTAAAGACCACCATCCACGCTGCTCCAGCTGTTCACGCCGTCCATGTAGCTCCTGCTGTGGTGCCAGTCGTGCACTCCGCTCCTCTGGTCAAGTCCGTGCTGCACACAGCTCCTCTGGCCTACACTCTGCACCATTAGATGGGACTTTACTTCTGACAGCGCTTGATTGTGATACGATTCAATGATTTTTATTTTTGAATAAAGTTTTTTGTTTCACTTAAAAGGAATTTTAAGAGTGCTGCCTGCAAATGGGTATCATTGGCTGTCTTATACTCGGAATTCACCGTCTGGCTGTCTTATACAGCTGCAGTCTTATAAAACTGAATATACCGTTGCACACTTTTCGGCTTTTCGTGAAATTCAAAACACTTGAAATTCGTTCGCTATAGGAATTATTTGTCAGGGCATTTTATTGCATACAAATAGAACTAAAACATTTTTTTTTTGTGGTTTTTCATTGTTGCTTAAACAGGGCACGTGAAATTTCAGTGGGCGAAACAATATCCGGACGGGGTACATGTCAGTGTGTGTGTGTCTGTGCGTGAGTCTGTCTATTTGTCTGTCTTTGTGTCTGTCGCGCTTAGCTATTGGCAGCTCTCTGTTACCAGATGCTCTTGAGCAGGATCGGCGAAGGATGCAGCTGGCTGACCGAGACGTGGGAGACGGCGCCGGGCACCACCTGCACGATGCGTGGTCCAATGGCTACTGGTGGTGCGACGACAGGTCCCCAAATGCCGGGTCCCACCAGGGTAGGTCCCAACAGGCTGGGCGAGGGTGCTGGCGCCGGCACAGGCGCAGGAGCGGGAGCAGCAGCCGCCAGGCTCAGCAGGGCAACGAAAACGCACTGCAAAGCGGATAGAGTCAGAATTCGAACTGGACTAGAATATTTCCTAGGCTGAGCCACTTACCAGCTTGAACATTTTAATAGGTTGATAGTTGGCAACGATTTGATATGCAATTGCATCGATCGCTGGCCTATTTATAGTGCATCAGTCGACTGCATGCTGTGCATGTGTGTGTGCGTAAGTGTGTGTGTCAACGCCTCTGCAGTCCCCATTTGGCTTGGCAACAAACACGGCTCAAACGACACGCGACACTTGATGCAGCTTACAAACCCTTCCGGGGGCAGGTTCTCAACGTTCTCAATGTTCTCGATGTTCTTGTCTTGCTTGACTAGAGGCAACAGGTTATGGACATGGCTGGCTGTGAGGCAGGCGCGGCTGCTGCTGCCCACTTGCTCGCTCGTGCAACGCGGCGTATGCTTGATATCGTTCCGCAAATCATACAAAATACATGACAAAGAAAGACCGACTTGGCCGTATGTGTGTGTGTGTCGGTGTGTGTGTGTGCTGGCCTGCTCTTTGCACTTTTGGCTTGCATAAATTAAGCCAAAGCTGTTGGCAATTGTTGATTAATGCGAGCACTTTGCTACACAACTGTCGCTCAGATTGTCTTGTGCAATATTCAAACGGTTGCACATCATGCATTTAGCTTAGCTCTTTCACATTATTATTGCCAAGCTGAGCTCGGGCAATAAAGCAATCAAATGGTAGACAGCCCAACCTGTTGCCAATCGAAGCCTAGGACGGCCTCTTAGCCATAAATATTTATTTTGCATTTTAGTCTAGTCTAAAATCGAGGCAAATTATAATAATTTATTATTAATATAAAAATTTCATATATATACACATATTATTATCCGCATTTTAATTATAATTTTTATTCATATATGAAATTGTCATAGCTTAAGAAGACCTCGTTGACTCTAATGATCCACCTTTAAATTATCAAGTCCCAGTTTTGTTTCTGGCTAAAAGCCAGCATTTATCTAGCCATTGCCTCGCCCACTCTCTGCCTGCTTTAGCCCCCTTTAAATAACATTTGTCACTGCTAAGTTCGCCGCTGACTCGACTTGATTAGATTTTAATTGACTGAGCTAGGAAATGCTCGCTTAAGTCTTTGGCCGTTCCCACTTTTCACCCACCTGAGCAGCTTTGCAGCTAATTAGCGCAATTTAGCTAAATGCTCGATGATTTGCCTGGACTTATGGGGCGGACGGCTTTAACAGCTGACTGAATTGAATATGAGTTGATTCATGGCTGTTGCATTTGCGCTTATGCAAACAACGATGTGAACTTGAGACACTTATACGTGTGCACAGCCAGTTCGAGAAGAACTTAAAGAGGTCAGTGTTTCGTCATCCACATAGTTTGCTACTCTTTGAACTGCATCGCCTATAGTCAGTCGTAACAGACCTCTTTATCCATCTGTCTATCTTTAGCACCATTTGTGGCACTCTGCATACGTTTTGCTAATGCACTCATTTGCATAACACAGAAACTGCATTTGACGCCACACACACACACACACACACACACATACACATGGCTCTGGGCAACGTGTCAGCCGTGTCTCTCATAAGCTTGGGAAGCAGCTCACAGCAACGATTCACGCTGCCTGCCACTGGTGTCACATGATAACTCGCTGATTACATGCTAATTATGTCACCTTGGCGCTTTGCTTTGGGCCACCTCAGTCAGCCGCACACAATGGGCTGGCGACGTGCGCGTGCTGAGCTGCGTTCCATGTTTAGGGATAGTTTCTATAAGTGCATATGTTTTCATCATGGTACATCGATTGCAGGTAACTGGAAGCTGCTCAGAGTTTAAATATCAGTCAGTCAGTTAGTCAAGCATAGCATAAATCTATGTTATATGCATGGCTTAACTGATATTTCTAGAGAATTAATTTTTTCTTTATATACATTTTCAGCTTGACATTGTTTATATTATATATGTATGTATATATATGTATGTATTACAAATCCAAACAATTTCAATCAGTAAAATATAAATTGATATTTATCAATTTTCCGCTTTTTCTTACTTCCTGCAATATTATTATTCTATGAGCGCTCTCTTTGAAATCAACAAAAATTAGTAAATAATTCTTACAAATTTTTTTTCAATATAATTTTCAATATTCTCATTCATTCGATTTCAATTTTATAAACATGTATCTAATAACTGCTAATTGTCCATAGGCATCTCCATTAACTGCGTGTCACGAAATATCGATACATGTCCATCTCTATATCTTACCACATGCGTTAGCTTCCCCATAGCTGGCATTGTTTGCGTTGGTAACAGGCTTAAATAGATGCTTTATTGTCTTACGTTCCGGCCAAATGCAAACCAGTTCAATTGCCCAAAGAGCCAAGGAGTCGAGGGGCGATTGGGTAATAATCAAGCAATCAGGGAAGCTAGACAGATAGATAATCAGTTATGCCGCTTTCCTCCTTGACGTCACTTTGCATATCAATTACGCGGCGTAGACGCAATCAAATGCGACGCAGGCCACAGACAGAAACAAGCAAATGCGACGCGTGCCGTAGAGGGAAAGTGATTATAATAAATATCTATAAAAAATATTATAATTAATTATAGCTATTTAGTCTGCTCGGAATATAAACAAAATATGTTTTATATATTATTTAAACTTTTATTTAAAATTTCTCTAATTCATCGAGTTGAAGCTGTAGAACAATTTGCACACACATATACACATATACACAGCTGGTCATCAGGCAGCGGGCGGGTGGCTAAGGTGGGTGGTGGGTGGTTGGTGGTTGGTGGTTCAGCCAGTCGAGTTTAATGCAGATGATAGTCGTGGAAGCCGTGATGATGATGGAAGTGATAGGGATCGTAGGGATAGGCCTTGATGATGGGCGCTGGATGATAGGTCTTGATGATGGGTGGATGCACCACAGTTTTCACCACAGTCGGCAGCACCACGGGCTTGATGATGTGATGCGGCACACTGTGCACCACCGTGGAGCTCTGGTGCGACACGGCCGCAGGCACATGCACGATCTTGGCCACATGCAGCGGCTCGATGTGGTGGTGCGCGGGATACAGCGGATACTCCGGATAATGATGGTGGTGGCCATGCAGGTAGCCAGGACGGGCAGCGGCCAAGGCGCACAGCGCAAGCATCGAAAGCAGCTGGAAAGGATTACAAGAGTCAATCTCCTTGGATATTCCATTATCCGATCCTCGCCCTTACCAATTTGAGCATTTTGTTGGTATTTGTTATCCTCTTCTGTCTTTGTATGGGGTGCTCGATGGCTTGCAGCGTGCAACTGATGCCACCATGACACCACGCAGTGGCTTTTATACACTTGGCATCTTGCATCAGCTGCCAGTGGCTACAGCAGCAGCAGCAGCTGCCACTGCTCGACAGCCTCAGCAGCTGCAGATGCTCTCATTGTTTGTCGCGATTTTCAATGCAACGTTTCCGCGGCACCACCTCCCCCACTAAACAGCAGCAGCAGCAGTAGCAGTAGCTCCACCACCACCGGCAACAGCCACTTTGCTATATCCGCGCTGCCGGCTTTTAACCATGCTGCCACTAGCATCCGCAGTTGCAGTTGCAGTTGCAGTTGCTGTTGTTGTTGCAGTTACCTTTGCTTTGGCTGTTGCTGCAGACGCTGTAATTGCTTCGCTTTTTGCTTTGATAACACTGGCCTACCAGTGTTTAGTTTTCAGTGAATCTGTATCTGTATCTGTATCTGTATCTGTATCTGTATCTGTATCTGTATCTGTATCTGTATCTGTATCTGTATCTGTATCTGTATCTGTATCTGTATCTGTATCTGTATCTGTATCTGTATCTGTATCTGTATCTGTATCTGTATCTGTATCTGTATCTGTATCTGTATCTGTATCTGTATCTGTATCTGTATCTGTATCTGTATCTGTATCTGTATCTGTATCTGTATCTGTATCTGTATCTGTATCTGTATCTGTATCTGTATCTGTATCTGTATCTGTATCTGTATCTGTATCTGTATTTGTATCTGCTAATTTTTGCCATTTTATTCTTGTGTAGGCTAGTGTAG